TGGTCCCGCCACATGCCTCAAAAGCACATGGTCCTGAGTTCGGATCCCCGGTACAAGAAAGGAAGGAAGGAAGAAAGAAATTCAATATTCAACACAAGCTGGATCTGATGTCAAAGGACTAATCCCAGCATTCCAAAGCCTGAGGCAGGAGAATTGCTGTTCAAGGCCAGACTGGACTACACAGCGAGACCCTAACTGTAAAAAAGAAAAGAAAATCAAGAGGTCTACACATCCAGTTTCTTGGTTTCTGGATGCTTCTTTCAAAAACAGGATCTAGGGGCTGGGGATTTAGCTCAGTGGTACTACCACCTGTCTCTCACAAGCACAAGGACCCAAGTTCAATCCCTGGTACCAAAAAACCCAAAAAACTAAAACAGGGTCTATTCAATTCACCCTAAATAAGAGAATGGGAATGAGTCTCTTGACATTGAATTTCTCTGCTAGTAATTTCTGTCTCATTTATCTGTTTTGAGACAGTTTCACTGTGTAGTTTTCTGTCTTTCATGTTCGTTTGTTTATTTTTTTTTGTTTGTTTGCTTGTTTTGTCTCAATAGGGTCTCACTATGTAGTTGAGACTGACCCAGAACTCACTATGTAGCCTAGGCTGGTCTTGAACTCATAGTGATCCTCCTGCCAGCCAAGTGCTGGGATTATAAGCGTGCACCACCACAGCAAGCTTGTTTGTTTTGAGACAGTCTCCTGTGTAGTTCAGGCTGGCCTCAAACTCATGGTATTCCTCCTGCCTCAGCCACCCAAGGATCGCGATTACAAGCATGCACCTCTATGCCTGGTTATTTTTTAATTTTTAATTTTGAGACCTGGACTCTTAAATCACTGAGTTGCCCAGGCTGGCCTCCAACTCATGGTGATCCTCTTGCCTCAGATTTCTGAGTTCTGGGATAACAGATGTGTGTGCCACCATGCCTGGCCTCTCTAGTAATTTCTGCTGATTCCATTAAAATTGCTGTCACCTAAGTCTTGGGCTGAGATTAACAATCCCTGACTACAGGCATGGAAACAGGTGGCCACAGGGAGTAGAGGTTAAGATGCATTCAATGTTCCTGCTGGTGTGGATCTTTGTGGTCGCCCTGGTTTGATATGTGGAGCTGAGGTCAGCTCTGTTCACTTTAATTAACCCTGATAAGACGAGCTTTGGCTTTAGTAACTAATTGTACAAAACAGTGCACACAGACCTTAAATACTTTCTTAGGCTGCTGAGTGCAAGTTGTGTGGCTTCCTGAGTGTCTCCCGAGGTACAAAAGCCACCCTCAGCCTAGGATACTGACATCTCACCTGTGTGGACATTCAGTGCCCCTTGCCTGCTAAGCCTAATTTGCTTTATTGGTGCAAGTAACATAAAGATCACACAGATTTGAAATGTAAATAAGCCGGGCGTGGTGGCACACACCTGTAATTCCAGCAGTGGGAGTGGGGGCTGAGGCAGGAGGATCACTGTGAGTTTGAGACCAGCCTGGGCTACATAGTGAGTTCCAGGTCAGTCTCAACTACGTAGTTGAGACCCTGTCTCAAAAAAACACAAAAGAAAGAAAGAAATGTAAATAAATCTTGAGCACTTTAGTAAACATGGAACAATGACCAGGGTGTGGTGGCACATGCACTTGGGAAGCTGAGGCAGGAGGATCACTAAGTTCATGGCCACCCTGGGCTACATAGGGAGACCCTGTTTTAAAAGACTAAAGAAAAAAGGGGCGGGGGAGAGAGCAAAGACAAAGGAAAAAAGTTTGCTTTGAGGAATGTCAGCTCTTGTACATATATGGCTAGTGGGAATTTTTTTTTTTTTTTTTTTTTTTTT